TTCACTTTCTGTCAAAGGGTGTTTATCAAGTCCTGAGACAGCGTTCTAAATGTCCCCTACTTCTTCCAAGTCTTTTGTCTATCATAGCATCAAATTTAGACCCCAAGCACTTTAGGACTTAAATGGTTGATAGTCACAATCTAGGGCTTTGTGATTAGTAGCCGTTTTTTGAAGCACCAGCAAGAATCAACTCTTGTCAAGCTTCAATCTGCCTAGATCTTCCTTTCCTGAAGCAAGAAGTTGGGATGACACTGGGATCAATATGTAAAATAAGAAAAAATAATATATAAAAAATATTTAAAAAAAAGAAGTTGGGGTGTCCTGGATGCTGGAGTATGGAAAGGACCTTAGATTCAAACAACTGTGGGAGGGAAACAAGATTGATTATTTCAGTTACCATATCAGAGTATTATTTTGTCTCAGAAGAAAAGAATCAACATTTATCAAGTACCTAATTATCTCAGATTAAACTAGACAGCCAGCTTTGAGGAGCTGGAGAGAGAACTCAGTGGTTAGGAGTGATTGTTGCTCTTCCAGAGGACCCAGGTTCAATTCCCACATCAGGTAGTTCAAAACCACCTGTAACTCCAGCTCCAGAGGAACAGATGCCCTCATCTGACTTCAGTGGGTACCTGCATACCTGAGGCATACATTCACACAGATATACAGTCACACATACATAAGAGGGTTTTTTATGTAAAAACGGCTTAGAAATCATGGTGGGATCTTGTTTTCTTTGATATCTAATATGGAAGAAGACAGGAGTTGTTAACATGCATGAGGCCAAGCTTCTTTGAAGGGTCAGTGAAGAACCAGTCTCCAATTTAAAGCTCCCACCCTCAGGGCTGAATTAATGTGATTTTTGACACATCGGTTGACCTATCTGGGCTTCAGCATCCCCACATATTAAGATAAGGAGTATAGTCTCAATGTCCCTCACTCTTTCTAGCATGAACATTGTCTGATGTCTAAAGCACTGGAAACATCAGACAATACCTGCCCATAGACAGTGTTCTACCCATAGCTCTTGGTTGTTTGAAAGATCAAGATAAACAATGGGTTTTGTTTCTTCTTAGAGTTAGATTTTAGTTGTCAAGCCCCACATTCGAATAAATCAGAATGATCCTTCTAGAAGATTCAGTCAGTATAAAGTTACCTGTCACTGGATAATGAAGAGAGTGGATACTTTTCTGGATTGCTGGCCCCAGATAAGGCTTTCTGCTGTAGTTTGGATCTGAACTGTCCCCAAGCCCATGATACTATTGATAGGCAATAGAGTCTTTAAGAGGTGAGACCTAGTGGAGGATGGAGTTGTATTTACATCACTGGAGGTATGCCTTTAAAAGGAGTGATGGAAAGGAACCTGAGTCTCTTCGGCTCTTTCACTCCCAGGCCATGAGGGCACCTCCCATGATGCACTACCACAAGACCAATGCAATGGAGCCAACCAGCGGTAGACTGAAACATCTAAAGCTTCAAGTCAAAACATAAAAAGAAAACTTTTCTTGGATGATAAATAGGTTCTCTTGGGTGATTATAGTAATAGAGGACTAGCTAATGTAGCTTCTAATGAGGACAGTTTAGCATTGACCCATGAGTCTACCTTCCCCTGCTAATATAAAGCCCAAGATCCCCTAGCCTGCTCCTGTTAGGAAGCTCCCATCAGCCCTTTAACTATAGTGCTATCTTTGTGGTTTACATGTCCAGCTGTCACATTTTTAGTAGATATGTGCTCACAGGAGGTCCCTACATGTCTGTGTTCATTTCACAGAGATTATTAGGGAAGATTGCTCTGCCTTGATCCTTCTCCCCAAACCCAAGAGGGACTGGAACATCACCCTCATTCTTTTCACATCACAATCAAATTTCTGAGCCCAAAGATTGCCCTATTTAATCATACCCAGCCTCTTTCAGCCTTGGAGACGTCGGACATTTATAAAGGCTGTCTTCAGTTCTGAGTCTCCAGACTTCCCTGTCCAGAGAAAAGGGATCCCTCCACACCCCTAAACCCAAAAGATGTATTCTTGAGTGACAAGCTGAGTACAGCAAGCATAACTATGGAATTAGGAATTGCAAGCCATCAACAATCTTGAATAATAGCTTCTAGTAGTAAAGGAGAGAATGGATCCCCATCACACAAGAGCCAGTAAATGCCAGCTTAAATGGACACAGGAAAGGGACTTGGATGTGAGACAGGATAACTTAGAGCCTCTGGAACTCACAGAGTGGGAAAGGTAGAAAGATTTTCTCAGCTTATGCGCATATGGCAGTAGCCATCTCTGCTGTATATGTTGTGACTACCAAAGTTCCAAGGACATAGCCGGAGATTGAGGGGTGGGGGTCTGCTGTCCTTCATAGGTGTGCTTTATCCTGAAAAGGCCTACGAATGAAGGGGACTCCATTAACGCTCAACAGAAGCTCAGTAAAAGCTTTTATCAAATCTCTTAGTAATTTACTATTAGGCAAGCTTAGAAAGCTTTTTCTTTGCTAGCAAGCTGTGTTGAGTACAGAATAAGCCCTTTAAGATCCAGAGTTAAAAATAGATGTCTGCCTCCTTTGCTGAATAGTATCAGAGGCCAGAAGAAACAGAGGGGTTGTGAACCCCTTTATTTTGTGAAGGGAGCACATCATCTGTTGCTTTATTAAGAATTGTGAAGGTATGGCTGGGAACACACGCAGCACAATGGTTTTCAGCCTGTCTGCAAAACTCGGAGTTCAGGGAGCACCACAGGAAGCCCTCATGAAATAAGGGACGGGCCAAATTTAGCAAGCCATCCTCTCCCCAATTTCAGCCAGACACACTGCTTTCAAGGACATGTTTCATGTCTGATGAAACCGTTTCTGAGATATGGGAAGATGGCTCGGTGGATAAAGCACTTGCTACATGCTGTGGGAGACCCTGCCTAAGAAGATGAAGTGGAGAGCAACAGAAGAAGATATCATCAGTCCTCACTTCTGCTCTCTAGCATCTAGACACCGGTGTCAGACTTGTTCAGCCCCAACTCTGCATCTTCTCTTTCTATGTTTCCAATTTCCTTTTTTTTTTTTTTTCCAATTCATTTTTACTGAGTTCCTCAGTTCTTTTTCCAAGTTTCTCAATTCTCTCTTCCTCAATTCTGAATGCACACTTTAATTCCCCAACACTGAGTGCTCTATCTCAGGAACCCTGTTTCATGTCTAAAAGTTATTGTTTTTTGAGTATGCAATAGTATTCCTGATGGCATCTCTATTTGGTCTGTTAATGCTTTTTAAAAAATGTATATTTATTTTAAATTATGTGATATGTGTTACGTGAGAATGTGGGTTTTTGTACATGTGAGAGTCATGCCTACAGGACCAGAAAAGGGTGCTGGAGCTGAGGTTATAGGCAGTTGTGAGCTGTCTAATTCAGGTGCTGGGAACTGAACTTGGGTCCTATGGAAGAACAGTATGTGCTCTTAATCACTGAGCCATCGGCCGTGGTGTAAAAACATTTGTTATAATGTTAATTTTGTTGTTTTATGTCTGGACAGTTGAAATTTGGAAGTCTGTGTTTGTGTCCTTGGTACTGACTTTCATCCCTCCCTTCTGGTCTATTCCATAAGTCCCTGTTTGTAGTATACACTCCTATTTAACTTTTAATTGTACTAAGCCTACTTTAGAGACACTCCACTCCAAGGAGAATTTCTAGGTGTTTCCACGTAGGCCTTGGAACCTCACCAGTCACCATCCCAAGGAGAGGCCAGTCTTGCCAGGCACAAGTAGAGCTCAATCATGTGCCCCGTTTAGAACCCTGACCTCAAAAGCAGACATCAATCAGCCGCCCAGTCTGTCTTCTGGAAAGCCACATCTTTTGCATTTGCTTCCTGCTCACTATTTCCACCTCTGGTATTGGCTCACAGTTTTGTTTTGCTTTGCTGAGATGCAGGGGAGGGAGGATACCAGAGTTGTCCTTAGCAACACAATTTTTGTGGTACATTAAAAAAGAAAATGTGCTTTGTCCGAGGCCTCACTACTGTTATGTGGGTTAGCCCTGACAAGGTATGGTGTTTGTTGGAGTGCTAGAGGGGGCTGGGGGACCTCAAAGAATCCTGTTTATGGAGCCCCCTTTGCAGCAGCATTTTGTGCTGGTGCTTTGTGGTTTAAAGGCCTGCCATCCTGTGCTTTGAGAATCTGATAGGCAAGACCATTGCCCTAAAGAGACAAGTTGAGCCTTGTCTACCCCAAAAGCATCTCTAGATTTCCTCTCACTACTGTAGGCCTTGGCCTGACCCTCTCTGATCCTGTCTATCTTTCTTTTATCCCCTCACATGTTGACAAAGTCTGTGTACACGGGGCCTTGCCTACCTTTTCAGTAAAGAGGACATTGAGGTCCACAGAGGTCACCAGGCTTACCTATGAGTTTAAAGTCTGCTCACTGGATCCTCTTGCCCCCAAATCCATTCCTTTCCCACATTAAACCAGTGTTGCATGAGAAAGGAAACTGCCTGCAATAATTCATTCACTACTTCTTTCTCTCTGACATTTATTGATCTTCTGCTATGCACTACTCCAGGCATGATATTACTGACGACAAAACCTTGCCCTTAAAGCCTCAGATTACAGTCTAGCTGGTGGCAGATAATAAATAAGCAAGCAGCCATATAATTTAACCAAAAAGTACTCATTTCCTTAGACAGAGAAAGGGGGAGGATGGGACAGGATGAATGGCATGAAGAAAGGAGCTATGGGCAGGACCAGAAGGAAATCATGCCAAGAAGAAGGAGCATCATTTGCCAATGCTGGAGGAGGATGTGTCCTAAGGCCACTGAAAGGCGCTGAGACTGCAGTGGTCCAAGAGAGCTACAGAGAGATGAGAGTGCATGGGATGAGAGTTGGGAGAGCATTAAGGAAGATCTGGGGAAGGCATGTGAGGAAGGACTCAGAGTCTGGCCCTTGGAAGTATGCTCCCTCCTTAAATAAGGAGCTGTGTGCTGGGTGACTCTGGTTTTAATAGCTCTAACTTGCTTGTCTCTTCACAGGCTTACAGGTTTTCCCAGCTTCCTGAAATGGTCATGGGCTCTCCCCCGCCACCAGTACCTCCCAGGACAGGTCCTGTGGCTGTGGCTTCCCTCAGGCGGTAATGCATTCCTTACTTGGTTTTGTTTGAAATACTTGGAAAAGATGTGACCTCCGTGTTGTCTAGTCCTGTTACAACAGTACACTCACCCTACCCCAGTTCAAGGCTTGTCCCCTGTGGCTGGGACACAGGCCTATCATGAAGGAAGCGGAGACCACTGCACATTGAACTATTTGCATGTCTTTCTAAATAGAAAGTCCCTGAGACCCCCACACACACAACCAAAAGCACCCCAGGCTGATTGCCCTATGCCTTGATTGCCCATACCCTGACCTTGAAGATATGGAAATGGCAAGTGTGACTGCCTCATCCGTGTTTGCCTGCCTGGAAGTCCCTTTGTTACTTCTAGGGCAATGTCTCAGGGGCCAGGGAGTAGTGGGTCTGGACTACCCACTCCCAGTCTTGACTTTGCAGAGAGGCTGAACTCATGCATCTCAGGATGGAGCATTGCTAACCTGTCTCTTTGATCTTTACTGACACAGCCAGCACACTTTAATAAGTGGGACAAGAAATAGAAAAGCCAGGAGCTCTGGGGAAGGATGAACTAATTCTGATACCCAGGCTGGGGATAACCCAGTCACCCTCCCAGCCCTGTTCCACAACCTCCCCCTACTTACTGGTCAGCCAATCTGTGGGCCACAGGCATGAACTTTATGAAGATGGTTTTTGTTTTGTTTTGTAAAGTGAGATTCCCTAGGAGAGTGCTCTTTTCAGTTCTGATGGTTCAGTGTCTAGCCGGCTTGACACCACCCCTTGAGGCCAGTGGTGATCAAGGCTCTGTTGCCTAATCTGCCAAAGGTCTGATTCTAGGCAGACCACCTTGCCTCTTGGGCCCCTGATTGGAAACTCTCTAGGATTCCTCATGAAGGAGTCTCAGCAGAGTGCACAGGGAAAGATCCAGAAGTTTCCCTGGAAAGCGTCTTCTGAAGCAGAGCTGTGGGAGCAAATAGTCAGGAAGGAGGGATGAGAAGGGGGACCCCTATGGCACCTCCCACCCTGCTGTGTAGTCGGATCTTCCCAGCCTCCCTAAGGAAGCACAGGGCTTTCTGAGCTATTCCTGTGCAACTCTCAGATCAGTTACCCACCTCAGGCCTTCGCGCCAGGTCTGTTGATAGCCATCATCTGTCCATCTCTTCTGCCAACCCACACCCCCCCCCACCTTCTGCACCATCTGCTATCCTCACCCACATGAGGATGTCACTTCATTAGAACAGGAATGCACTTTACAGGTAAAGTTGGCTGCTGCTGATGTCATCACCTCCTAGGTCTCCCATCCCCAGGTAATACACGGAACTAATTAATTCCCTTGTCGCTTTTACAAGGAAATTAAAGATTCTACTACCCAGAGCCATCCTTAGAGAACTAACCTCAAACGGGGGGGGGGAATGACACCCCCCCCCAGTGCTGCAGGTCTGGGTGCCACCAGCAGTCCTATTGCTATTGGTGGCAAATCAATCCCAGGACCTCATGAGAACTGGGGAGGGAGGGGCTTGATGTGTAACTGCTTGATGACTGAGGCATGCTCACATCACAGAGTCCCTCTGCCCTGCCCAGGTCCACCTCAGATATTGGCAGCAAGACCCGGATGGCTGAGTCCACAGGACCTGAGCCCGCCCAGTTGCATGAGAGTGCCTCGTTTGCCCAGGTGTCCAGAGGTCCCGTGTCAGTGACGCAGTTGGATCAGTCGGCTTTAAATTACTCAGGTAAGACAGAGCTGAGCCCTCCCAAATCCACACAAACTGCCACTGTCAGGAACCAGCGCTACCATATGTCTGGGTCCACTGAGGAGCTAGTGGTTTTATTTCTTAAAAAGCTGAACCCATGCAAAATACCTAGTCATGCTAAAATTAAAGTTATGGTAATATTTTGTCAGGTATCAGATTTCTGTTTATTTTACTTCCACAGCATGACACATACAGCCATTGTTCCCCAAAATGACCATGGATTTTAGAACTATGTTATATACTTATTTAAAAGTATATGCTAATGCTATATGCATTTTAAATTTGCACAAACCATATACTACACATTTCTTTTTGCACTGTTTTCTTAACATTGTTTGCAGTACTCCTCCAGATAGCTATATGAGCACAGGTTAGACACTCACTTCCACCACCATGCTGGTGACCTGTGACCTGATCTGCAACAGTCCATCCCTTTGATGGACATGAGGGTCATTTCCAGTTTTTTTTGTCAAGCTGACAATGACAAAATGGAACCGGAGGTTTGCACAGGCCCTATTTGAATGTGACCCGGTTGAATTTTTATTGTATTCATGCCATACCTTTATGGCTAAACCTGCCAGCACCGGTTGCCAGCAATTACTAAACCATTTGTGGTTTCCAGGAATTCCTCTGGTGAAATCCACTCCTTTTGATTGCTTTTGTTAAATCGTTAAAACCACATGTCCTCCTGGGAAGAAAGCACCTGCACCCAAGGTGTCCTTTCCTCTGGGCAGATCAAGGCTACTAGGGCAGGATAAGGGAAAGGATGGGGGCTCTATAGAAGGAGTTGGACCTTCAAAGCCTAGAAAACTGGTCTGGGCCACAACAGATGATGTCTGCCATATTGACTAGGCAGGTGATGAAGGCGGGGGCTGCAGAATGAAGCCTCTAAGCACTCCCCAATGACCTTTTCCCTTGCATCCCCTAGCCTGGACCAGTGTCAGAGTCCTCCTCGGATTTCCAGCTTCCTGAGATCGAGTCCATGCAGGCACAGTGGGAAGGGTGCTAGCTGGACTCTCCAGTCTCTCTTTAGGAGGGTGGGAAGTGAGGCACTGCTAGCTCATGAGGCTTCTCAAAAAGTGGAGAAAAAAAAAAAAGGTGGACACAGCACCCACCCCTGCAAAGAGAATACAGCCAGCATCTTAGCCCCACTTGGCCTCTGTGCCAAATACCCTGCGTAGGGCCATCTGCTCCCCTTGGCAGTCACAGTGACCTTGGGAGAGCTGCACTAAGGAGGGCCAGATGCCCTCCACCTCAGCCACCCTCTTTGCTAATGCATTACCTAGAGTTCCAGTCACTATGGCAGGACTCTGCTCTCCGTTAGATGGAGTCTCTGTGCCCAGGGTCTCCTCTGCCTGGATGGAACTGCTTCTCACCTCAGGCCTCATTCACTGAGATTTCAGGCAGCCTGGTAGTCTGGGAATTGGGGTTTATCTGGCTCTTTCGGGTAGGGGGTCTGGATCCAGAGTCCACCTCTCTGACCTCCCACCCACTTTCTCTATGCAGGTAACACAGTGCCGGCGGTGTTTGCCATCCCAGCTGCCAACAGACCTGGCTTCACTGGCTACTTCATCCCAACACCTCCCTCGTCCTACAGGAGCCAGGCCTGGATGTCCTATGCAGGAGAGAATGAGCTCCCAAGTCAGTGGGCTGATTCGGTGAGACCTCTGCTGATGTTCTCAGAAAAACCTCCCTTGCTGGGCACACCTCTATGACAAAAGGGGATGAAAGGCAGAGACCAGGCTTTGGTTCTCTCAGGATCCCTCCCACCATGCCCGTGGATGAAATTAATCACTTTGAAGGAGGTGGTATGGTGAGGCATGTGACCTTTATGGGGAAATTTGAATCTTGTTTCCTAGCAGACATTCTACCTCTTCCTAGCAGAGTGACTATAAACAAATAACTTTTATAGTAATAACTAGCATCTGTTTAGTGTTTTCTATGCACCAGACCCCTTTCAGATGTCCCATGACACTGTCTTATTTGATCTTCATGACAGTTTGATCAAGTGAGTTTTATAACTCCCATGACTACTCCTGCCTTGCAGATAAGGAACTGAGGTTTAGTCATGTGACATAATGTTTAAGGCCACACATCTAGAAAAGAGCCACAGCCAGTTAGAATTCATACAAGTCTGACTCCAAAGTGCTTATTAAATTTATGTCTTTCAACTGTCACTTTCTACAAGATTTTAGATCAAATATCAGCAAATGAAGCCTCAAAAGCCCTGAAGCTATCATATGGCAGATCCTAAGACTCCCCAGTCAACCTCTACCCATGCATTTGTTTTTCTGGGTTCTTGATATTCCCCTTCATTCCTCATAGGTGTGTGACACAGATATACCTGTCTTTAGACTTTCCGGGTATGGCCATGAAAAATAGAGAGAGCCACCTATGGTGTCTGTAGTAGGCTGTCTGATCCTTGAGTGAGCTCACCTGGTACAAATGAGAAAGGCAAGTTAGTGTCCAAGCTGAACCTGACATTCCCCGCATACTGTAGTCACTTTCAGAGTTGGTCTCTGCCTTTCTAGCATTGGAAAGCACCTTGATACAGGAGTCTTTGTTCAAATCTCTGAGGTTACTATACCCTGCAGCCTGTAGTGACTTGAGTTTCAACAACACTGGAGTGGTATTGATCTTATGCATAAACTTTCCTGTTGTCCAAAGCTTACTTCTTGGGTTTCTAAAACATAAAAATGCATGCCACATTGCAGATAAAATATTTCTATTCCCTCTCAAATGGGTGCAGCTTAGCTGAATCATCTTCTGCGAGTGGTTCAGCATCCTTATGAAGTCCCACAGTTCTCAGGAGACATTCGGAGGTTGGGCTTTATCCTCTGAACGGTCTTTTTGTTAAGTATCTACAAATTAATATCTCTGGACTTGATACTTTGGCTTAATGTGTTTTTTTCTCTGCAAGAGCTTCTTCCCGGCTGGTACTTTATGCTGTCAATATCTCTACATCCTTACATGTGCTCTTCCTAATGTGCTATTCTCTGCAAATGAAACATGCCTGAGCTCATTTTAAATTGTTTGCAAAGTTGGAGTAAGTAATCGGTGGGGACTGGAACTAGAGAGATTCCCTACTGTTAGGTCAGTGGGTCTAACCTGGGATGTCAATTACCTGTTTGGGTGGGAAGGGCTCAGCTTTACCTTTCCTTTTTGGTTTTGTTGTTTTGTTTTGTTTTCATTCTTTTTGTTTGTTTTGTTTTTGAAGTTTGAGGATGCTTTTGTTGTTGTTTATTTAGTTGTTGTTTTTTATTTTTGAAACAAGGATTAATTCCTAAACCCAAACTGACTTGGAATTCACAATGTACTGTGAAGCCAAGGGCAAACTGTAAACTCCCGGCAATCCTTCTGCCTTAACGCCCCCTAGTGGTAGAATACATTCATGAGCTACAGTGACTGACTCTCCTTTCTCAGCCCTCCCAGAATGCTTCCCACTGCCTGCATTTCTAAACAATTAGTATCATTGGATAGGACTGATCAAGTCAGAGCATGTTTGACTCTGTAAGTCTTAAAATGCAGAAATAATGTATGTGCTTTTCAGAGTAGATGATATACATGTTACACTGGGAAGGCTATAAGCCTGCAGCTTGGACAGCTATGTGTTCGGCAGGATTCAGAGGAAGTATTTTCCAAATACTGGATCCTTGCCCTCAAGATGCCTAACACACATATCTTACTTGACTTTTAGAAGTTACATCCAGATGCCCCTAGGTTCACATCACCTTAAAGAAGAAGGCAAAAGACCTCAACAAGTGCAAACTCAACCTTACTGATAGGATGACAGAGTCATTCCAGAATCCTCCCCAACAGTGTGCTAGCCACTAGTACCAAGATTTGATGTCACAGAGAAAGGGTTGTATATTGACTCTCTCCACCCAGGTTCGTGCAGCTGGCTAAGGTTGAGTTTCCCTGGCTGCCTGGAAAGTCAGCGAGAGAAAGACACCCCATGTGCCTGACTATAGAGATTAGATGTCCTCTATATTGATGTGAGAAAAATAAGACCTCCACCTTCACTTGGGTGCCTGACCTTCTTGCCCCCACCCAAGCCACCAAGACCCAGGGTGTCACGTCGATTTCGACCTTGGTGCTAGATAGAGAAGCTTCCAGAGGAGGCCTCATGGTGTTTTCATTATTTTTCTTCATTATTGTGACAAAGTGATCTGACTAAAAGTAACTTAAGGAAAGAAGGGTTTGCTTTGGCTTACAGTTCAGATACAGCCCGTCATGTTGAGGAAGAAGGTGTGACAGCAAAGGCAGGGGGCTGCTGGTCATCTGTAGTTGGGAAGCAGGGTCAACAAGAAGTGAGGCTGGTCTTTAAAACCTGAAGGGTCTCACTTCATTCAGCAAGGCTTCACCTCCGAAAGATTCCAGAACCTTCCCAAACATCACCACCAGCTGAGGATCAAGTTCAAATACATGAGCCTGTGAGGGGTAACTCACATTCGGATTCGAAACAGACTGATCAGGAGCTTATGCTGAGATCGATTGGTGATGTCTGTCAAGAAGTAGTAGTGTTTTCAGCCCTGGATTCTGGCCAGCAAAGCATAAGGGTACTTGCCTACGAAGAGGCAAGTCTCGGGGTAATACTCAGAAGTAATAGTCTCTTTCCCTTGCTGGTTCTAACCACTAGCACCAAGATTTGATGTCACAGAGAAAGGGTTCACTCTGGTTCATGCAGTTAGCTAAGTATGAAATGTAGCAGCTACCTCCTCACAGATTTGGCACCTACTGGCCATCCTTCAGTGGTTTCCAAACTGTGCCTAGAACCCCAGGCTCTGGGAGTCTTCCTGTTCTATGCTAGGCATAATTGTGAGCATGGGGCAAAGCAGTGAGAGACTGAGGGTGGGGGGAATTCTGCCTTCACAAAAGTGGTGGCCCAGGAGGAATGCCTGCCACACTAGGAAACTGCATGGAAACACTTTGCAGGGACTGTTGGCTGGTATCAGGCTGGCAGAGGTCCTTGAAAGAATAGAAATTTGAGCTGAGATCTGAAAGGCTTCCTGCAGTCTGGCCTTGGTTCTTGGTCAACTCCAATTACCCATATATTCTTAGCTCTTGTGGTTGGATAAGTGGGACAGTCCAACTCTGGGTTTCCTCTAAGGTACAGGGGAAACCTTACAGCCCTTGTGTGGAGAGACATTAGCAGCATTTTGCCACTTTATTTTATTTGCAAAGTCTCATGGCAAAATTGAAACCTCAAACTCAAGCTTAAGGCATCAATCCAATTACTTCCATTGAGTGAGTCCTCGCAGCCTCACCTGGACCACTGAGGTAGCCTCGGAGCTCCCTTCTGCCAGGTCCACCACCCCTGAATGACCTTGCTGAAACTGATTTCTCTGCTGACACCATCAAGGGTTTTCAACCCACCATCTCAGAAACCTACTTTATCAAGAGGGACTAGCAGAGCATCCCAAATGTCTGAATGTTTGTGTCCCTCTGCCTGATTCACATGCTGGATTCCACAATGTCAAAGTGGTGGCTTCAGGGGGTAAGTCTTGGGGAAGGTGGTTGGTTTGTGAGGGCCAAACACTTGTGAATAGAATTAATGTTCTTATTTTAAAAAAATAAGTAAATAAAAGCCCCATAGAGCTCTGCTGTTTCTATCATGTGGGTGATGGTTAACGGCAGCTGTCAAGAATCAGGAAGCAACCTCTCACCAGACACTGGAGTCCCCAGCCTTCATGAGTATAAAAATCAATTTCCATTCCTTATCAGCTCCCTGGTCAGTGATATCTTGTTATAACAGTCTGAAGAGGTTAGGTCAAACTGTCCTGCTCCATCCTCCCATGTGGCCCCAGATGAACATATCTGTTGATGGGGAAGGAGGACAGATGTCACCACATCTGTATGTGTATAATCCCAGAAGTCAGGAGACAGACCTGGGGAGGACCACCATGGTCACAAGACTAGGATGGTGTAAAGGGAGTTCCAGGCCCACTAGAGACTCGGCCTTTATTTCTCATAGGTGTGTCCAGGGCAAGCAGTAGATGTGATAAAGAAGAGCATGCTCTGTGGACTAGCATCCAGTTGCTTTAGGATGGGACAGTCTGGGGACACCATCCCCACCCAGCACACCCCTCTCTACCTCTGTGCTCCTGGTTTTCTACCTGTCTAGTCTGCCTATGCTACCTCTTGAACCTGGAAGCAGACTCCTGCCTGACACATGTTCTCTGCCTGCCCCGCAGTACCATGCACCTGGATCCTCAGTACCCGTTTTCCCCGCATTCAGACATTTGGGTCTTTGTGGCCCCAAACAGCAGCCCACATATGGCACTGCTTCTGTGGCAACATAGTCACAGATTCCAGATCTTTTGCTTGTCTTTATTCCTAGAGACTTCTGTGTGTTTAAGTAGAGAATGGTATGTCTCCCACCTTTAAAGAAAAGAGATTGGTTTTTCAAGAATGGGATAGTGTGCCTATATCTAAAACGCTGTAGTGTAAAAATTAATTCCCAGTGTTTGGAGCCAGAGACACCTGTGCAGAGCATATCTTCATGGCTTGATGGCTGTGTTTCCTTAAATGGTGGTACCCTCACTTATAAAACAATGATAATGACACCTACCAGGAGATTGTTGCTTGCAGAGTTAAGTAAAATACTATGTGAAAACCGGTAGGGCTCAATGAACGTCTGCTTTTGTTATTAGTAAAAAGCCCCTGAGCTCCTCAGTTTAGTCAGCTGTGCTTAAATTAAGAAGAAAGGCGTGGTCGTTCAACTGTGAGCTCAGGTGTATTCTTAATGCTTTCAGCAAAGTTGAAAAACACCTATTTAATTCATCCAGCCAGCCTACTTGGTGAGTCCAAGATAGCTGTCTGCTAAAGAAACTGTCTCCAGATTGGAAGGGTAATAGCTGTGACAGAGTGTGGTTTTAATTCTCTACAAACCTCCTTCCTTGACCTCAGTCGCCTCCTGCTTTCAGTATTGAGTGTATCCTGTTTGCCTTGAGCTCCCTCATAACATGAGTTCCTTCTCCTCTCTCCCAACCTCTTGTGCAGGTCCCTCTTCCTGGATACATAGAGGCCTATCCCCGATCACGTTATCCACAGAGCTCACCCTCCAGGCTCCCTCGCCAGTATAGCCAGCCAACCAACCTTCACCCAAGCCTAGAGCAGGCCCCCATCCCCTCCACAGCTGCCTCACAGCAGAGCCTGACGGAAAACGAGCCTCCAGACACTCCATTGACCAACATTTCCACTGCAGCCCTCGTGAAAGCTATCCGGGAGGAAGTGGCCAAGCTGGCCAAGAAGCAGACAGACATGTTTGAGTTCCAGGTCTAATGCCTCAACCCTGAGGGAATCTGCACTTAAAGTCTGTGAGACAACAAACAGGCTTTGGGTTCCTCTCCCCTAATGTGTGGGGGCTCCAGACAATGTATGGGTCTTTCTCATCCTCAGATTCTAAAAATGTCAACCATGGGGCTGCTGGGAAACAGAGACCTTGTGAACAACTGCAGCCGATTGTGGGCCACCAGGTCCCAAGCCTGGACCCTACGTTCAATGTTGTGTAGAGCTGAATGTTTGAACTGTGGGTGGAATTTCCCTAAGGAGCCCTAGTCATGAGAAGCACTAGCTAGCCTGCAGATTCCTGTCCAATGTCCCATTTTAAATCTCCACAAGGGAGAGAATGCCTCTCTGTCTTCAGTGACCTCTGCATGTTCTCTTTCTGTGTTAAAGGCAACACAGGAATGTGATTAAGCACCAGACTGTACTCTATCATTGAGCCATGACCATGATCGCTTTAAAAATCACCTCCAGTCTGTAAGGGAGATACTGACTGTCCAGCCAAGAAACTTGAGTCTCTTTGCTATTAAAGGCTCATGTTCAAAGTCAAATGAATTGGATGGAAATCAGTTCCAATGGCTGTGCCTATAAATAGTCCTGACTCTTCCCCCCACACCTGTTAATTAAAGGCCAGGAAAGAGAGATGATGAGCCAGAATGGTGGACTTGTGTTGACAGACTGTTTCAAAGGTGTTGTCATTTTGAAAATAAAGTCTCCTGCAAATTGGGATCCAAATGAAAGAGAATTGGTGCTAAGAGGCTTGGGAGCCTATAAAAGAGAGGCAGTTATTTGTGGAGGCTTTCCTTTGTGCTGAAGATGATCAGAGAACCTGGCCATCAGGAGGAAATAAGATCTGTCTTCTCCATAGTAGAGTTCAGCACGATGCTGAATGGTTACAAAGGAAACCATTACTGATTATGTTAGAGATGGGGAAGATGGATCCAGTCACCCCACGCTGCAACCTCTGCTTCTAGAAACTTCTGAATGTATAAAATCTGATTTGAGATGAAATGCAAACCATCTTTTTAAAAGTCTGTGGCGTTCACCAGTTCTCTGTGGTGGATGGACACAGGAGGACATTTGCCGAGATGGCAGGATGCTACCCTGGGATGGTGCTATCCCATGCTACTTTCCCTGGCACAAAGCATCAGCCTACAGAGTCCTGGGTGGAAACACTCACTGCCTTGCAGTTCTGGGGTACCAGCCACTGAAGACCCCACTGTGCAAATAAAACTGATTTGGGGTACCAGAGGAAAGGGGACCCCTAAGTTTCCTCCCCAATTTTGGGAGCCATGTGTGATGTCAAGGGGCTTATTTGGTGTCTGTTGGAGAATATGGTCCTATCGTCCCCTCACCCATGACCCATCTAGCTTCAGCTGTACCCATGGCCCTCTGAACCCATCTATCCATTGTCTTCATGAGTTTCTTTGGTCTTTACTGAATTTAGAGGCTGAGAGAAGAGTAGGATTGGAAGGAACTGACTAGGATGGGGACTCACACTGTCAAAGCACAGACTTCCCCAAGAAGCTTTTTATTTCCCTCTGGCAAATTGTCCTTTCTGGAATGTTCAGAGATATGTCATGGACTCTCCAGACAAGTCTCTTGTGGGGATGACATTAGGTAGTGTCATTTTAGTATGCCGGTTGATCTTTCATAGTGTTAGTTTTTTGTTACTTAATAAGAAATCAGCTATAAATAAAATGTATTTTTGTAATTTCTGTGTGTATATATGGTATATTTCTACCAATGGCCAGTTGTAGTCCAAAACTGAAATCAGCTTGCAGAACACTGTGGACAGTGCAAGATTTTACTGACAGGTTAACACATGCCTAAATCTATCCAAGCAGGCATTCAATGCACTTGAATGAACAAAGAGCCAAAGAAACTCAGCCTTTCATGCAAATTATATAAGTCTAATAAAGCCAGCTACATTGTTTCACTTATCAATAATATCAATATTTCATCAGTGCCGTGGTATCAACACAGTACTGCATGGACACGGTAAATGTTTGGAATATGAGAGAAGTTTCTAGACTATAGACTATGAATGCTTCAAGAAGCAGTGTCTAAGCTTTGGATTCTAGTAACTTCTAGGTCATGAATGAATCTAGAGTTAGCAGTGGTATGGCTCCAGATTGGCAGGACAATGGAGCTACATACAGCTCACTGGGGTCCTTGCAGACCCCTGTGGAATATTTAAATCATTGAGACAATTAGAATATAGCATGATAAATCAGATACTATTAAACTAGATACCGTGGGTTTAAGAAGTCTATGTGAAGAAAACCTTAAATTAATAAAAAAAAATAATGTGTTCATGTTTTTCTATCATCATTAAAGCCTCTTGGGACTAAGATGTGGTCCTTTCTTTAAAGAGTCTCCTAAGTATACAGAGGTGATAGATCCCAGGACAGGAGACCCACACATATGTGAACATAGGGTTCCATGAGAGCCCAGAGGAGGCAGCAGAGAGCTCAGATTGTCCTGATCTTCAGACAGGCACAGAAGCCATAGAGGATCATAGTGACCTGGAAGGAGGGAGCCATTGTCCAGACACATAGAGGGTTGAGCCCAAGCCTGCTGATTCATGCTCCAGCCTGCTCTCCATTTCACCATGCTGCCTGGACGCTTGTTGGAGACACATTTTAACTGTGCCCAGAAATTTGAAAAATAGGCAAGGATCATGTGAGGAACTCCATAATACTCTTGCCCAAAAAAGGGGGTGGGGGGACTTGCCTTTTTCCAGAAAGTACCACTGAAGAAACGATGCCCTTAGTCAGAAGCCGGTGGGGGTAACTCACTCATTCAGCACCATGAGTCAAAAAGCCATGCGAGGATGCGCTGACACTCTGTCACGTCATCGGGTGACCCAGCAGGGCAAGAATATAATGGTCTATTTTGTGCCCTGGTACCTATGGCCTGGGGCTTATGCAGGAATGAAGTGGCAGCTGTGAACTACAGAGCAGGAAGTTGTCTGGAAGAGTTCAAGGCAACTCACTGTCCCAAGAGCAGTAATGCTGTGTACTTGTTATTTTAAGAGCTTGGGGGGGGGGACAAAAACCAAAACATGCAATTTCTGAATAATCTTGATTCAAGAAAGGAAATCATAATATCTGTGATTAAAATGAAAACCTGTGAGGGTAGGTAAAATGGAAGAGATGTGAAATTGTTACATCTAAGTAAAAGAAATGCTTCCCTGCCAGCCCCCCCCAAAAAAAAATTGAAATGGATCAAAAAATATTGATTTTATATAAATGAGCCTCATTTTTTCCACATAGCACACAAGTGCTCAAAGTTCAGTGTATAAAGAATGGCATAGAAGTTTTTAAGTTTGAGAAAAAGATTTGAATTTAAGCCTGGACTTAGAATTTGGACATCCCTTTCTAATTACAGTCTAAGACCCTTAAGGTTTAAGTATAATTTAACTTGTCACTGACTGGGTCCAAGTATTAGAAGTTACATTTTGCCATCTAGTCCAGCCTCAAAGGCGTTCCAGTCTGGGACTCCTCAAGGACCTGAAACCTACTCAGCCTTACTTCAGCACAGGGACTGGCAGGAAGACACAGGGGTAAATGATAGAAGCCAAATGCAGATGTGGAAAAGACAGGGGAGGCATCAATCAATCAATCCTTCTTCCTGATGGCGCTCTCTCTCTCTCTCTCTCTCTCTCTCTCTCTCTCTCTCTCTCTCTCTCTCTCTGGCACACTCTCCCCTCACCTGCTTTTATCTGTCTCTCTCGGCATACCCGCTTCACCCTCTTGCTTGCTTGGACCAACCGGCTTACTCACTAGTGCATATGGAGCCAAATATGGACCTCACCCTTTTTCTTCCCAATACAGACTACTCTCAGACTAGCATCTTTGAGCTCGCTTTTGGCAAACGCTTGAGAGTCTGATTGGTCCAGTTCATATCTGCCTGTGATAAGCTGCCCTCAGGTCAGGTGCCCATCCAGTCAGCTGTAAGCAACAAGGCAGGGTTATGTCTTACAAGCATGGTCCCTGGATTGACCCAGTTGGCAGGGGCTCTTGTTGAGGGTTGGTACCCAGAGGAAGGAACATGATGCAGGAGCAGGACTCCCTAAAGGGACTGCCACAGACTGGAACGAACCACAGCCCTAAGATAACCACCTGGCAGCCAGTACTCAGAGGGAAGTCCTCTAGATACTGCCTGTCACCTCGGGAAAGGCATCTCCCACTTGTATATCAGGTGAGAGTGTACACACTTGACTGGATAGATTGGCCCCAGACACTTCCCACCCCTTCCCACACTAGTTTCTGAATACCACTGCTGGGCCTCAGAAGAGACCTCTGACCAAGGCCCAGTTAACCTAGTGCCGTGCTCAGCTCAGCAGACAATACATACTTGTAAATTAAACTGCATGGTCTTAGCTCAGGTGCTATTACCGTGGCTCCCGCCACACATTTGCATGGATGAGAAAACTGGTGCGCCTCTCCAGAGTCTCTTTGAAAGGAAATCGGTTTTCAGTGAAGATGATGCCACAGTGGCGCTGACCTTCCCACTATAAGAAGTTAGTGCCCTGAGAGCAGAAGGGTCTCCGGATTGTTACAGAACCCTAGGTGGAGGTAGATATGGAAATGTAGGTGTTCCTGAAAGGGGGCATTTAGGAAATGAATTGTACCAGAAATGAATTCTCTTAGAAGATACTGAGTTGCTTTGATTCTGTAGGTTTCAAAACGAGGGAAATTTCAAGAAGGTGGAATTTGTCCTCAGAGGTCAAACCCATACTTGACGTCCTATTATAAGTCTGGAACATCCTATGATAAATCTAGAGACTAATTGTTTCGTCCTCTGGCCTTGCTCAGACTCTCGTAAATGATGGAAGGAGGCCATCCAATGTACTTTACATAAATTAACCGTGGCCTCACCTTCCTCCCTTTCATCTCTTCTTTGGGTCTAAACTCACCTCCATCCTCACATAAATGAAGGAGAGAAAAGAAAAGGGAAATGTACCAAATAAGATCAGAGGAGTGTTGCTGGACTGGAATTTTTGAGAAGGTGTAAATATTCTAGAACTTGAGTGACTCACTTTGAAGTAGTGTGTGACTCCTCATGGGTCAAATGGGACTAATAGCATCTGTACTTCCTACCTCCCATGGTGGTTGTGAGGCTTGTGTGCACAACGTGTC